TAGGTTAACTCTATCGTCGAGAGTATTTGGAAGCCTAAATTAAGTGGTTCTAGGTTAACTATTCCCTACCGATTTAAAAATAAATCAAAAAGAAAATAGCAAAAAGCAACCAATAAAATTAAGAGAATTATTCTAAGAGTGTATTCTATGAGTGCCACATAAGGAGAAATCACTAAAGTGACTTCTCTTTTAATGTATAAGGGGATATTATCTAACTATATAACCAAATTCAAAGTATCAAGTTATATTTACTCATCGTAAGATCCACCCCGAGTATTAATGCTTGGGCTCTGATCTGATGCAACATAATGAATTGAGCTTCTGAACAAGTTGTCATACGTCTTTTAAAGGTTCAACCACCAGATTTTCATTTATTATGTACATTGCTTTCGAAGCCCACTAATAATCAACCTTTAAACAATGTGGTAAACTTAAGTTAATAGTAATAGAAAACGATAAGGTTGTGATAGATGGTGTTTATCAGTTTATGGTCATGGCTACTGTAAGAAATTAAAGGACTCAAGGTTACTTTAATTGGTAACGAGGGGAGTTTTCGAATTGGTGAAATAAGAATAAATTACAAAGGTAAGGAGAACTTATTGCATTATGTGTTTTTGAGAGAATTTTAACTTATCAAAAATAATATTTATGTTTTAAGATTTTTTTTGTTATAATTTAAAGAATGTTATCAAGTTTCTGTGCACAAATTTAATGTAAATTATATTGTTATGATCATATATATTTCGAAATCTGTTTTTATTGGTTGAAAATGTAACTATTGTTGTTTTTATATAGACAAAATAGAATAAATAAATTTTAATTTTTCTTTAATCGGTGTGCAAAAAATCTTATAAGTCTTTTTTTGTTAAAAAAGTTAATAAGTCTAGTATTTTAAAACAAAAGGAGTATTGAGTTTGGCATTTGTACGGAAAAAAATCAAATCCCAACTTATAGATTATTCATTTGTAAAAATTATTTTATTAGATTAGTCTTTTGAATAATTTCCTTAAAATCTCAATTTATTAGAAATAAGAGATGTTATTAATAACATCTATCAAATAGGATTTGAATGGATCTGAGATATAATTTATAGATAAAATTAATGAATTGTAAAACTTTTTTTAAATTAATTTTTTTAAGTTTTTAATCTTTAAAAATCAGAAATGACAAAAAAACTATTTACTAGAAATCAAAATTATTAACAATTTTCTTTTGAAGATTTTATATATCTTCTTATTTTAGTAACAAACAAAGTTTCGAAAATTAGTCTATATTATTAAAAGAAAAGTACAAAATAGAAATAACTCGTAATTTTATCAGTTATTTACATTAGAATGCCATTGGAATATTTATTAAACCTATATTTAAGTATGTTTTTCTTTTATTTATTTAAATAATAGATTTAAGTATTTAATATCTTTTCATAATTTAAATATTAGATTTCTTTAGTTAAATCTCAACAAAAATAAATTTTCTAATATATTTGGTACTAACATATTAAATATTTTAATATTTATTAGTAATAACTAATGTATTAGTTTTTAAGAAGATTATTTAATCGAAGTTATAGTTCTAACACATCATTTAATATAAACAAAAAAAAACATAAAATAAATACCCATCCGACTATGTACCATTTTGCATATTTAAAAAAAAAAAATATCAAAAATATTAAAATCTCCAACAAAATCTTTAAAATCCTACCAAAATTACCACCAAAACCCTCAAAATCCATTTAATTCCTACCAAATCTCCCATAAGTGATTTGATTGTAATTCTTGTTTTAAACATATGATTTCTAAATAGCATTAGTGTTTCATTAGTAGTAAGAAATCATCAGGGCAACATCAAAGAAACTCTTGTCCGTCCACGACAAAAGGGGTATCATATCATCGTAGAAAAAGTAAAGAAACACCTTGAACACTAGAAACACTAGAAGCCTTCAATCTTAACCCATGACCACTAGAAACAAACCTCACGGACACTCGGACAGCATCGACCAACAAGATCAATGCTAAAAACACGACTTTTCTAGTTCAAATCATAGTTTCCATGTCGAGTCTTGAGTGTTTAACAAGTACATAATGAACAACTCATGATTCATAGTTGCAATCAGATATCTTCCAAAAGATTGAACACAAATGGAATGGGGAGGACTCTGTTTTTTCATAATTTGCACACAAAGGATAAACTTCAGATGATTAATCGAACAACATCATCATCATCACCATCCACATAAGACCATTTTTTATCATAAATTTGAAAAAAGCTTGAGAACGACAATGGACTACCCCCAAATACATACTTTAGTAATAGAAGGGGAAAAGATTTTTCAGCAAACAAGAAGACTACTAGAAGCAAGTGCCTTCTGGAGGTTGAACAAGCTTACGGTTATGCGACGCAGCCATTTCTTTCTTCAGCTGGGTAAGTATATTCTCCATCGTGTACTCCCTTTGCCAGTTCGCAAGAAGCGCGAACTTCTTTGGATCCACCTATACGTAAATGCACAAACCAAGTTACAAGTGCATTTCAAGGAACAAGTGAATGGTAAATGTTTATGCTTACCACTCCAGTTTCATGGTTGACACAAGTCATGTTGACACGAGAATGGAACCGAACAGTGGGAGGCTTCTCAGGGTAATCTTTGTCACAGAAGAGCTTCAACGTATAGATCCTACCTTCATGAACAGTCTGCAAATAGGAAGACATACGAATTAATATCTGTTAGTATAACAACCAAAATAACGAGGCATCGATCATTTAGAGAAGGCAGCTTCTTCCAAAAAACAGAAACAACACCAAAGCTGTGTTGTCTATAAAAAATCAAGAACAAAGCATCGATCTTTGGGACGCCTAGTTAAGTGCTTCTTAAAACAATCACGCAGGTAATGAATCTACATATGATAAAGACGAAGTTGAATTGTATGAGAAGATGAAGAAAAAGATATAACTACGTTGTGAGGACCGATGATAGTGCCAGTCCAAGAGCGCATGTAGATGTCATCTCCATCGTCCATTCCATAGCTAACAGTCCCATCTCCAATACCTTTCTCCCCACGTTCAAGCTCCTCCAGCAACCGGAAGTTTCTCGGAACTAATATTGGCATGAAGAAAACAAACCAATCACTTTCTAATCAAAGCAAGATTAACCCAATTAACAAAATTCACGAAGAGACGTAAAGGTGAAGACTTTCTATCTTCTAAAGGTCATGGAACCAATCAAATGATAAAACTTTACACAATCTAACATACGAAATGGATCAAATTACCGAGAAAGGAGGGAAATTTAGAGAACCCTAAAACCCAATTGAAGACATCTTTGACACATATCGATCTAAGCGAATACGAATTTTGAAAACCCTAAAACCCAATTGGGATTTTCAAAACCCTAGAAAATTAAAATCGAGACGATAATAAAGATGAAGGAGTTGGAATTGTTATTACCGACAACACTCGATCCTCCAGAGCCGAGAGTCATGTTCGATCAAGTTTTTTGGATTTGATTCGATTTGGTTTTTTGAGATCTGAGCTCTGATCGTGCCGAGAGACGAGAGAGGAGGGTTGAGCTAAAGGGAGATCGGGAGAGAATCTTGGTGAAAAGAGAGAATGCTAGAAAGAGAGGGGCAAATTGGGTATTTTGAGGAGACGGTAAAAGTTTAAAATTGCAACTCTACTACCCAGGAGATTATCTTCTGACGTATAATTCCTTAATATTACAACAATTACATACGCATACCTTTTGTGATTTTCCGAATCATTTGATTTTAGTCAACTTTCTTTCCAATTCCATGTTTAGGCATGGATGTTTTTACCTCAACCCAAATTACCAATCTTAATCAGAACCAGAAAAACCGAGATCGAATCCAAACTGTTTTACAAAAATATCCGAATAAGACTTATGAACTTATTATTTTGGATTTTGGTTATAACTCGAACCGAACCGAAATCCAACATAGGATCCGAAGATATCTGAAATTAATTACATATTTTAATGGTTTTATATATGTTAAGGTGATTTTAGATATTTTTGAGTATTCCAAATATTTTTGTAGTTTGTTTTATTTGTTATTTTGAATATTTTAGTTAATCTAGATAGTTTAACTACTTTATAATTAGATTTGTAAATAATTTATATATTTGAAAACTTTTTGTCCAATTTTCGAGGTTTTAAAAACAGAAATTTCCTAGGATAGATTTTTTTAAAAAAATTGTTACAAATATATACCTTAAAACTAAAAACGACCAAAATAAACTTAAAGGTTTTTATCAAAAATAAGTAAATATACACTTATACCTTTTGGATTAACTAATCTTAGATTTTTTGTTTAGAATTGAAAAGTGGGATTTTGGAGTGGAATTTCAAATTTGTAAAAAGATAAAAAAAAACTTAAATTTTCAAAATAAAATACTATTTTAGTCATTTTAATTTTTGAAATCTATTTTGTAATAAAAACTTAAAAATGTGAGATTTGTCCTTTTAAAAATATATTTTGGACGATTTTAAACATTGGTTTAATCTGATCCAAACCGAGTATGATCCGAGCATAACATTGAAAATCCAAAAAATCTGAATCACGGGCCAGCGAACACCCAAGCCTAACCATGTCACACTTCCTTTCTTTTGTGACTTGAACCCTATCAATCCGAGCAATTTCTTCGACCTTAGTGGGCTAGAATATGTACATATGGACCTTTTTCTTTGGGTCACAATGATATACCATCACATTTGTTTTATGTTTTCATTGTTTGTTCAGTTTTATTTAAAGTTTCTAGCATGTTTTCGTGGAAATTTGGCATTTGTGTAATTCTTTAATGTATAGAAACTATAGCAGAAAATCACACATAAAAAAAATAGCGTTTGTAACAATCAAACCTTTACTTTACAACTTGCACTGAAATCAGCCCTCTTTCATTTCTTCTGCTCTTGAAACATTAAAACAAAACTAACCAGGACGCTACAAAAAGAAACGGTCTCTGTCAAACTTATAAATTAGAAAACGGTGATACTTGATTTGATTTATATATATATAGAACTTTACATATTCACCATGCATAAAGAAACTCTCAATATTTCAAAACCAAATCAAAATCATGACTTATAACAAATTCGCTAAAACAATATCAAATCATTGCATTTGCACTTAGGGCAACACGCCGTTGCTTGTGAGACCAAAACATACATAAAACATCTTCTACATCCCGCCACCACCATCACCGACGGTTCCTCAGTCCACGACGATGCAACCTCCTCCTTCATTTCCTCCGCGGTCGATAAGCACGAGTTAGCCGATGATGATGTGCTGCTCGGCGGCGATCCTCCTCCATACCTTCTCTTAGCAACAACCGACTCCGCCATCCTCGCGGATGGCTCGACTCTGCCTCTTTTACTGTTCTTGTTTCTCATTTTTGAAACTTTGAACTTGTCGAGAGGATTCTTTTTTTCTTTTTGTTGTTTTAGGTGGAGGGGATTAAGAGTAATGATGGCTTCTTAAATCATGTGTACATATATATAGGAGGATGAAGAGGAGCTAATTATGACAAATAATTATTTTTGTTGAATAAAGTAATTATATGTTGTGGCAGAGAAGATGACATTGTTTATTTAGTAATTAGTTTATTAATTGGAAAATGGGGGAAATAGTAAAGCTAGAGTAGAGACAAATATATGAAACAGAAGGTAATTCATTAAACAATACTCCCTCTGTTTCAAAATAAGTGTCACTCTACAGCTATGCACACGGATTAAGGAAACAATTAATTTTACATATTTCCTATATAAAAACACAATTACCCATACACCTAACCATATTTTAACCAATAGAAAAACAAATTACATAATAAAATTAATAAATTTTGCATTGAAAACCGAAAACGACACTTATTTTGTAACACAAAAAATTCTCTACAACGNACGGATTAAGGAAACAATTAATTTTACATATTTCCTATATAAAAACACAATTACCCATACACCTAACCATATTTTAACCAATAGAAAAACAAATTACATAATAAAATTAATAAATTTTGCATTGAAAACCGAAAACGACACTTATTTTGTAACACAAAAAATTCTCTACAACGACACTTAATATAAAACGGAGGGAGTACATCATTGCATTTAAACCAGCGCAGCATACCATTTATTGCATAAAATGTTGAGGGGATGAGTATGAAATGTTGCAAAACAAAAATTCATTTGATAGGTTATAACTATCGTTTTATGAATAAATGTGTATTCGAAACATCTTTTTATATTTAATTAAAATTTTATTTATTTCACTTTAGTTTATTAGCTAAATACATATACTTATATAATATATGAAATCATTGGTATAATGATAATTTTCATAATTTAAGAAAACATGTAAAATTACAAACGACGGTTATAAAAATAGAAAAGGCATTTAAAGATGTTTATGAAAATAATGTGATTAAAGTAGATTAAAATTGTTTTTAAAACAGTCTTTAGTACTTGATTTATTTGAAAACGGTTAAGTGATATTTTATTAGTGACATATACTTTGTCATATGAAAGTAATAGGCGGTAAATTTTCATATATGTAATCTTTTCTTTTAATTATTTTAGACTTTTAAATATTTTTGAATATTTTTCAAATCTATACACAAAGTCACAAACCATATGTTTAGCTCACGTACACAAACCATGCATATTTTTAGATGGATATAATTTCACTTCTTTGTTTATTTATTGGTTTGTTCTAATTTTTTAATATTTGCCTAAAATCATTTTGTTTTCTTTGTATGTCCAGATATTGATACTCTCGACTGTGTAACCATTTACAAATTTGACCTAATAAGTAACCAATACTCGTATTTAATACAAGAAGCCAATAACTAAAATACAACAGACCTCAAAGAGAAAACGCGGATATATAGCTGTTAATAACTTAAGAATCTCGTGTATTTAAGAGCACCTTTAATGGAGGTTGTTTAGAGGGTTGCTTAGGAAGAGAAGGTGGCTTATTTTAAAGAGAGAGGGTGTGAAAAATGCTTAATTAAGCACTTTTCACAATCTCTCTCTTCAAAATAAGCCACCTTCTCTTCCTAAGCAACCCTCTAAACAACCTCCATTAAAGGTGCTCTAATGCTTCATAATTAAGATGACAATGAAATAATTTAAAATTATTTATAGGCTAAAAGTGTTAATGGCAATAATGGCAAAGAGTTGATTTGTAAAATAAACATCCACTAGAGTTTCACCCGCACATCCGTGCGGGTTTATTTTCCATTTTATAAATATTTAAAAAAAAATTTTAAATATATGATTTATATTCTAGTTTTAAATATAATTATATCTAATAACGAAATTTAAAAAAATACTTATTTTATAAAAAATATTTAAATTTTTTTTGATGAGATCTTGTTAGATTTTTTCAACAGATTTTGTTATATTTAAATTCATTTATTATTAATATCCTTATTAACTATTAAGATATTTTGAAAATAATATATATTTGATTGGTTAATGTAAGAATCAAATATGTCAAATTAAATAACTAATGACATGGTC